CCGGGGGGGGGGGGGGGGGGGCAAGTGCCCCTACCTGCGGGCTCCCATGGGGGGATATAAAAATGACGTCACGAATCAGTTTTGAGCATCCACTCAGCAAATTTCCATGTAAGTTTGTGGGCTGTAAAATTTTGCACACAAAAAAATTGATGCTGTAAAACTTTGCACACAACTGTATGATTTTGCCCACGAAACCAACAAACTTTCGAGGGAACATTGGTGGGGGGCATGCATACAAAAATAATGACGTAACGCATCTTTTTTGAAAAAAATAGGGGAGGGGGATCACGAATTTTGTTGAGGACAGGGTAGAATGATCATTGCGTACCACACATGAGGCATGACATGTACTTCATGTACATGTTACTAAATGTTAGAGATCATGATTGCATCTGCCTCTTTTGATATGCCAATGTGGAACTGGCGCACCCACTAACACCAATGAATAAAAACTTTAATCATCCATTGACAGATATAAAAATCATATAATGATGCACACTAACTAAATGACTAAATTAAAAATGTTCTAACTCAACCATTGGTATTAGGAAGAGTACTTTATAATTTTCATCAAGCGATGACTATGACTGTTATTATTAAGAGCCTAGGACAAATATTATTATAATATAACATGGTACAAAATTAAAATAATTAGTTAAGCAACATACATAAGCTATGCAATAATGTTTTAATTTATTTTAATGTGGCCAGTACAAACAAAGAGTCAATGATCATTAAATACGATTTAAATTTTGTGTAGAAGTCAAAAGGCACTTTGTAATATTACTGTCATTTATATAACAAATATTAACAGACTTAAAACATTGAAAGAATAAATACAGAAATTTGTTTACTAAACAAATCAATGACAAATTGTAAATAATAATAGTATCAGTTCATGGCTTGTAGAAACTTGTTTAAAATTCCTAAGTAATTTGTGACATACCCGGTATCCTCATTTGAAAACTTAACCAAATCTGACAAGTCATCTTTGCAGCTCACCTCTATATAGCCAAATTTTTCAACACATTTAACATACAATGTTAAAAATTCCCTTAAGGTACAAAAAGCCTGGAATCTAAAGCTAATGTGGACATATTGAACTTTCCTAAGCCAGGGCTTCTTTTCACCTATTTGCAGTGCCCCACTCCTTGATTTCAAATTATTTCCTGTTCCTGCTTCCCATCTTGATTTCCTAACCTATTTCCTGCACCTCCACGAATTTCCTGGTCTTCCCACAACCTCCTGCCTCTCGCCCCCACAGCTTTAGTTGTCATAAAGGGGAAAGAGGAAGCAAAGAAGACCTTGGATGAACTGCAGAGTGTCAATTTAGAATTTTTTAAAAGTGAATCCAAGATAGACATTTGAAATTTCAAAAAAAGTACACATGGAAGTTGTGGATTTCAACTCTCCAGAATTTGGTTACATTACAAATTTTACCATTTTTACAAGGCTGGGATTTTTTATAAGTAACAAAAATATCAAATTCTCCTTAATTTTTTAAAATCTGACAATTAAAGGTCTAAGCATTTAATTAAATACATGTCATCATATCATCTTAGAAAATTTAGATACAAAACAAACAAACAAAACTATAGAAAAAGATTTTAATGTTCATCAATAAAAGGACAAAATTGCAATTTTCAATATGATTACCATACATATGGCGTTTGTTATTAGGAAATATAATATGAATCCTTTAACATGATTACTTATATTCATTAAAATTTAAAGAATGCAATCCAGCAATATCACACTTAGACAAGAATTTTTAAAAATCTCTATATAATATTTGTATTTTTATAAATGTCTTGATCTATGTGTCTAAGGTTAACAATAACATATTCAATATGGATTTAATTTAAGAACAAAAACAAAATTTGGATATATGGCTTTTTTTCTTCAGGTTCATACAAATTTTAATTTCTGAAAGTGTGTACAATTAAAAAAAAAAACACTCTTACTTGCCCAGTGTATGTTGATTAGAGTACTTTAAGTAAATACCCTAAAATGTGCATTTTACATTGCTGGCTAACCAGTTTCTTCACTGGGTTGTGAAAAAATGGCATGCCTTTTACTTTTAATCAGCTTATTTAGCAAGGCCGATTAGTTTTAATCAGCAAATATGCTTATTAATACAACCCTATTTCAAATATTTAGTGTTAAAGGCCATTTACAGATTAGCACTCTATACTAAAACCTTATAATAAATAAAAATTGTGATGATCTGAATCAAGTATGAGTGATGTCAGCACCTACAAGTTGCAATGCATTGCCTAGTTGTAGGGAAGGGAGTGTAGGAAATCATCACACATAAATTTACAGGAGGTTTTCAAAATATACACTATTATTGTTATATTTAATTATTGTTATTGTAATTGTAGACATTAAATTTCTCAGTGAACATATAAATGTAATAAAGCCAAACATCAACCATCACTCTGTAAACTTTGGATTTTGAATGCTATGAAGTGGCCTGTAAAAAATATTAAAGTATATTTTTGTTACTCATGTATACTTAAGCATGGTATAAAATTTAACTTTGGTAACTTATGGTAAATATATTTGTTGTACCTAATAATAACTATGTTATGAAATTAAAGTTTAAATATATAATTCATTAGCTGTAGCATAAGCTGGAGTACACTTCTTAATTATATTTAAGTTTTAAAACTGCATATTTCAGAAAACATATAATACTTATAGATTGAATAGGGCCAAATATTCTTGCCTTTTAGGTGTTTTTGGGGTTTTTCCTCTTGCTAAGGGCGTTTTAGGACCATCCAAAAATAAGTTCTCAAGCTGGACTCTCACTTCATCTTTATCGGAAGCAAGCCTTGATCCTTTCAACACCGGTGTGGCAAACACATTGTCATCTAAATCACTTGAAGGAAAAATCATAATAAGGCTCAGAGGTTAATAATATTACATCAAAAGATCCAGGTTGAAAAAAAAAATTTTCTATTAAGTATGCATGTCATGGCAGAAACAAATTTTTACTTGTTTTGGGCCAAATAATTTTGAACAAACCTATCATTTCACTGCACATTTAGTAAATATAGCAATTCAAGAACAGTACACACTCAATCCTGAAAGTAACTCAATGTAGTCATCTTTTTACCTTGTTGCTGTGGGTTTGCTGGTGGACTTTAATAAGCTCTTCGCTCTTTTGGCATGTGCAGATTTTGTAACTGCCTGACTTAGATTGTCTATTTTATAGAAAAAAAGTAGCAGTAGCATTTTTGGAGAAAGCTTAACACTTTAACATTTTATTTTAAATCACTTATGAAATAATAGAGATAGTAAAAATGTAACATTCAAATAATAAAAATTAATACTTTTAGTCTTCTTTACAGTGGATGGATGTAAGCTTGCTAAACTCAGATTGCCAACTGAATCTGCCAATTCCATGGCCAAGTCTTCAGTAGAAGGTTGTTTCTGATGATCATCTTGTACATTATTATCTCCTCCATCTCCTACCAACACCTGATCCTCTTTATTTCTATTTGTGGCTGTTCTTTTTGAATTACTCATCTGCTCTTTCATAGCATCTATCATCACAGACAGAGTACTTCTGAACTTCTTCAATAAATTGCAGCATTGTTTGTCGGTTATTTCCTGAATTTTAAAAGTAAGTATAAATTGCATAATTGAAAAAAAAAAAATAAAAAAAATCAAATATGTTTCTAATTTATGATAGGAAATATTGATAATTTTAAATTTTTTAATAAGAGAATATTTTTAGAAGAAACATAATGTCAAGCACTTTAAAAAAATTGATTTCCGTCAAATAAACCCCTCTTAATAAATACACACTGTTGCCATATGTTCACACAAAGCCAATAGATTTTTCTGCAGACTTGTGTTCTCTGGATTGATACTAAGCTGATTAAGTACTTTAAGCCACAATTTGGTGTCTGATGAGTCAGGATGAGACAGAATTTCATTACAAAGCTTAACAGCGATGTTGTCATGACATGGATTTTCCTGCAACAAATCATAATACCATTATCTAAATATTTTAGACTCATATTTCATACCAATTTATATATGTTTGATCAATATGTTCATGTTAAGACTTTTTTCATTTAATCAAGCTAATTTCTCTTTTGACAAAGCATATTTTATAGAATGTAGACTTAACATCAGCATTGAGTAAAACTAAAATTATAAAACCAAAGGATTATTTTGCATTTATTGAATAGTAATCTTAAGTTAAATAAGGCTGTCAGAAACTGAGAATCTGGTAACTCGTTTATGTTTATAGGTACCTTGACAAGGCTATTTTCCAATTGGTTGTCAGACAAATTCTGAGCATCCATTAGTTCAATTAAAAAGTTGGCCAGGTTCATCTCATCAATTTCTGCCAATGGAGATGTAAGTGGTGCATGCAGTACCGTTCGTAGAGTAGGCACAAAAGCTTCCTCTACAACCTCTTGATTGGCACTGGAAAGTAAATCATTAAATTTTATAAATTAATTAAGTAGGCTTATTTTTAATTTTTACTTTGTTTTACCAAGAACACACCTGGGACAATTAAAATTGCAAAGTGGCCTACCTGTTTGCAAATGCAAAAAGTGGAAAGAAATCTCCCAGAGTCCTTATTAGAACCTCATCATCTTCAACAAGTGGATTGTACCATAGAAGCAAAAGATGGGATAATAGCTTTGATGACACAACTCTACCTGAAAGAAGCAATTTAGCCAACCCTTCGGCTGCAATGTTCCGCAGCTCGGAATTCTGAAATTGAAAAAAATAATACATCTAAAAAGTGGTGAAAGTACATTTTAATGATGCAGTCAAAGTAGTATACATTTATGATTAATCAATTAAATTTTTTTTTTATTAAAGCCTAACTTTGCAATTTACCTACACAAATTGTGTTCTCATCTACTTAAGCTTCATTGCAATCCAACACTCTTAATATTCTAAAATTTGTAAGAGCACCAAAGTAATAAAAATTTAAAGATATAGAACACACATGACTAAATCAATTAATGGAGGTACGGTATAAAAATGATATACTTAAGTTTCACTTCCAAATGTAATTAAAAAAAATTCAATTACATTTTTTAGATTCAAAAGCTGTTTTAACGTTTTTTTTTTATTGTTACTCCACAATTTTATTAAAGATTTTCTTTAAAATGCAGTTAACTTTTCAAGCATTGAAAACTCTGTAATCCTGCACAAGAAACAAGATTGTGTTTTTTTTAATCATATCTTTTAAAGATAATTTATTTTAAAAAAACATATTGATGATGGTATCAATGGTACAAAAAAAAAAAAAAAAAAAAAAAGATGAGAGTACATTTTTGTTCTTCCTATTTGACACTTTTTTGGCATACATATATTTTTCATAGCTTTTTTAAAACTATGAAGCTTGCTAAGATTAAAGTGGACAAAGTGTTAATGATTGGCCAAGTGTAAATTCAAAATTAGTTGTTAAAAAGTTTACTAACCTCATTATCTAGAGTAGAACTGAGAATTGTTATAACTTTGCCTGCGCTTTCACTCCAAACTGTGCTGCCTTCTCTCTCAACACCATTTTGTAATTCCGTCCTTTCTTCACATGACTTATCATTTGGTGTGTTAATATGCAAGTTTGCATCTTTAGAGCAATCGCTGAAAGCTTCGAGTCCGTAGAATTGAACCAAATCAAATATTGATTTGAAAGCAGTTGATCTTACAAGGTGCGTGTCCATTTGGGAGGCCTGTAAAAAAAAAAAATGTTAAAAACGAAATATATTGCTATAACTGGTATAGGAATATAAGGGTAATAGGGTATTCAATGTAAAAAAATCTAGAAAAAGCAACTGTGCACTAAAGCCTACTTATTACTCATGATTTATAATGGTGTGAAAGCATTGCAGAATATAAAAATGGTTAAAACCCACAGACTATTATTCCATTATCATATGTGTTGTTTTCTTTTTTTATATATTAATATAATACAGCTATATAAAAGAAATAATAAAATGCTATAACTAAAAATTGATGAGCTATACAAATTATTTATATAAACATACCTGTAAAAGTATTGGTAAATTTTGCATCACAAGGTCTTTGCTGATTAGACAATACAAGCCAATAGCTCTGACTGCATTATTGCGAATATCTGCATCTTCATTAGCCATTCCTGGCAATATCTGCTCATAGAATATGGACTAATTTGCAAACTTAAACCTGTAATCTGCATGCATGTAAACAGCTACATAAAAGTAGTCTGTGCTAATGTTGATTACATTGTTCTAGGTTATTTTTAAAAAAAGTTAACAATGGTAAAAAAAAATGGCTTTAGTAAATAATAGATATTTGAAAAGATATAGATAACATTTCCTATTGAGATTCTCCAATTAAGAAATGACGTAACAGTAATCTGAAAAGACGTGCCAATGAACAAATGAATGGTATTATTGAAAGGTGTAATGTGAAATAGTACCTGGCTTTCCATTAGGCCTTGCAGAGCTGGTGTCATCCTCTTAATAGTGAGAGTGCTCAGCACTTCATTAATAATTGTCAGGCACTTTAGCAATATTACAGGATCATTCTGTAAATATTAATAAAAATTAATTAGAAATCTCTGAAAATCTTTATCAACAGTTCGTTATTTTAAATTTTTAATGTAATGCTAAATTTAACAGCAAAGTAAAACTAAATACCCTTTGAGTACGGACTTCCTGTAGTTTGGGTTCTGCTTCTTCTAGCAAGGAGGATCGTTCAGAATCAAGATTTGAGATATCAGATTTCAGTTGTGCTGCTCTTTCAAACTCCTGCCTTTCAATGCAAATGGAGAGTTCATCTCTCAATTCATGAAGCTTAACTCGTATTCCTGCAATCTACACAAGATAATATATTTCAAATGGATTTTGAAGTTAGATGCCTTTCATATGTTATGTACAAAATATTTAAAAAAAAATTCTCCTACACCTTCCCAACCCTTTACAAACATATTCCCAAATGATTAAAAATGCTTTTTTATTAAATATTTAGATATTTCTTAGCTTTGTCATTCAAAAATATGATACCAAACTGCAGTATTATTTATATCAACAAAACTCATAGTAATTCTTCTACATTTCAATTGTCCATAATAATTAATTTATGTACATTTAAAATCACTGGCATTCTTAAATTGTTTAAAAGCAAATAATAACCTTTTTATCAATATTTCTCTGTGCTTCAACATTAATTTGTGTCTCAATAGTAGTAATGGGCTCTCGAATTTCTGAAATGGTTTCCGCAATATAGTTGATAAATTCTATGTCTGTATACATATTCTGCATACATTTCAAAACAGGTGTCACCAAGGCTGGTCCAACATTATCTGACACCAGCAATCCATGTACAAGTTTTTCTGTCTGTTTTCTGAAACAGAAAATATTTCCACAAAATGCAACCGTTTAAATTTAATCTGTAAATAAAGTATTGCAGAGAAAAACTTTAAAAAGGTACCTCCAAAATTAACTGGCAATACAATATTTTAAATATTTTAATTACCGGCAACTCACCTGCTGACCTGATCGGACAGATCCATATAAAATATAATTTGTAATAGTTGCTGGATGATGAATTCCATGTCCAAAATCTTGTCAACATCTTTGCATTCAGATAGAAGAGCAGCGTAGCTAAGAAAAAAATTGATGTCTTTTAATATATTGCAAACACCTGCAGGCTGGTACACCACATCAATTAAAATAAATTTAAAAACTTATCCTTAGGCCATGGGGTGATGTGGTGTGTATTTTAGCTGAGTCATTAGACCCAAGCCTCACTTTGACAGGGGCCTCAGAAGGACATATACCTAATAAAATATCAGTTAATATAATTATAAATATAAAAATAAGATGAATTCTCTATAGTTAGCTAGAGGTTAAGATGCATTTAATAATAGCCAGGCTTCATGGCAATTTACTTTTACTGCATTTAAGCACTTAATAGATGACATAGCCACAATAGATACATTATGATGGATGGCGATGGAGTTTTAAAATATGATAATTACTTTAAAATGAAATGCCCCAATCTGTTAATTTCTTTATACATTAAAAATGAATTATCTGGTATTTCAAATAAAATATGATGATCCAGCATGGAAATAAAGATATTATTTTTCGATCGTCTTTTTCTATCCCCTTTTTAAGAGGCGTAGCGGTGAGGTATACTTGACGAATTGTTGCAAGGTGTGAGGCCTACTGGGGGTTCATGTGTGAATTTTAGGGTGTCCTTAACATTCAATCCACTGATGACATGGTCTTCACCTGGCCATGGAATTGGTACTGTATACTTGACAGGTATTCTGACCATGTGGCAAAATCAATTAAATTGTTGTTGAGGCATATACAGACTGATTGGGATGGCACAAACCATTTGTCCATTTCCTGGTTCTGAATTTGGTCCCTTCTTGTTCCAGATGCTCACCTTAAACATCTCATTCGTATTGCAGGTGAATAATTTTATCTCAAGACTTTTATTCAGAGCACAGGTTTGATACTGATAAGTATGCGTTGGAATAAAAACAGCGTTAATTAGCCTGGAATTGGTCTCCATCATCATTATGAGGTGTCTAAGTAGTGGGGCAATTTGGTAGCTGATTGCCCGTTGTAATTTTGTCTTTACCACTCTATCCATTTTTTCCATAGTCAGTGAAAATGCTTCCCAGATAATTAAACTCATGGTTTTAATCGGAGCAGCAGACTATTGCTAATTATCTCCACTAGGGTATTGCCTACTGATCTGACAGCTGTCTTTCCTTTGCTTATGTTCATTCCATAAAGATTGCAGATACACCTCAGGTTAAGAAAATGGCTCTGCAACTGTTCCTTATCATTCAGGATGTATTGGTCTTTTGCAAATAAGGATTCATTGAGTATCTCAGGATTTAAATAGCATTGACATTTCTAGTATACAGAGCTCTATTTTTATTGAGGAGATGTTTTGTCCAGAATGTTTCCAGCACCTACCACAGCTTATTTCTGTCAACCCTGTTTAAAAACCTTTTTCTGATCCACAAAACCAGATAAAGCTGTTGATATTCACAAGCCTTTTCACACATTTGGCGGAAGGCCAAGATTGCGTCAATACAACATCTTCCTTATCTAAAGCCATTTTGGATATTGCTAGGAAGTGGTTTAACTATCGCTCGTTTCCACTTTTCCAAAATTTTCACAAATATTTTCCAGTGTTGTCGAGGAGAGAAGATGCCCTTGTTTGTGCCACAGTCTTCCATACAGGGACCCCGAGAGCTCTTTGCCAATCTTCGGGGGCGGTTCTTTCTTTATAAACTTTTAAAAATATAATTGTGAGCCATTTAATACTGAGGTTTTCACATGCATTTATGGCTTCTACATTAATTCCATCTATTTTTCAATATCTTTAAACAAATCCAAGAACAATTTACAAGCAACAGACCAATAAATAAATAACATTTCAGTTTTGAACACTACATATGGTAACGGCTGCAACTTATCTTGCAACAAGAGTTGTTGGAATTAAGAATTTGAACATTTCCACAAAAATCACAGCAAATACATCAACAAAGAAAACAGAATGAATGATCACCTTTTCACATATGAGCAGAACTCAACACAATTCGGTCGCACTTTATCAAGTTGTTCATCGTATTCATGTCCTGCTGTGTAAATAAATTGCATCAAGTTTCTCCAATAGAAACTGTTTTCACACGTCAGCTTATCTTCATCGATCATTGCCCTAAGAGGGAAAAAATTGAACTGTAAGTTTTGCAACAAGAGTGAGGATAAGTGACAAGGTTGTTCTATTCTATCTATCGTGTACAGCATGAATATAAAATATATTCTTTCAACATAAAACAATAAATTTCAACATTTAATATTACTAATGAATACTTTAAGTTTAAATAAACTTTTAAAAATAATTACAGTACAATATGTTGCTTCCTTTTTATGATGTACTAGAGTAGTAAAAAAAGTAATAGTAATATTTAATCAAAGTTTAAAACACCAATGGAAACTTACTTGTCATTGATAATGTCAAATCTTTGGACCAACTCTCCAATTTCAGATTTTTTAAAGAGAATGTTTAGTGCGGTCTCACAGGTTTTAACAGAGCTTTGAACATCAAGCCGTGCCAATAGGTCAAGAACATTGCCTTCACAGTCTATTAGCCAGCTTTGCAATAGTTTGTTAGAGCAGGCAACTTTTACCAAGTCTAAAAAAAAAGGGAAGTTAAAAAAATGTGCAGGTCATGCATTTAGGAACGAATGTCCTGAAATCATTTAGTTGAAAGCTAACAACATGGGGTGGCTAAGTGGTTGAACATTTTTGTTGACTCGGCTGTAATTGTTTGAAGACAGTAAAACAGAAAAAACTAGAACATAAGTATTACCTGATCTGTCATTTAATCCATCATTCAGGAGTTTAATCCTCTGATCAATTGACATAGCTTTTAGTGGAAACTTGTCTGCGATGACAACAAATGCAGTTCTTCTCACTTTATCTTTAACATCCCGTGTGCGCGTTAAGACAGATGGCAGAGTTGCTTTGCATGGGACTATGCATGATAGAATTGCCCGCCTCACATCATCGCTGGGATCTCGAGCCAACAGTAGTATGAAGGCTTCAAAAATAAAATTTTAAAATATATATAATTGATAATAATTTTATATAGATCAGAATCATATATAAGAAAAATTAAATTTAGCCAATGAAATCCTGGCAAACAATAGTATACCTACCTATTTGATAATAAAGAGAATTACCTTTAATTATAGCGCATGACTCATCAGTTGGATCTTGCAATCTAGTTAAGGCAAGTACAGCATGTACCCGAACTTGTGATGACTTATCCCTTAGGCGTTCACCCATACACTTGTATATACGATCATACAGTTCATCATCAATCTGGGCACCTTCTCCAAGATCGTGGAGCAGTTTGGATAAAAGCTGGCAGACGCGAAATCGTATAGCTTTTGCTTCAGCACTATGAACCTACAAATGCAACAGAACCACATATCCTTTTATAAGTAAGTAAAATGCTTAGAACTGAAAACTGTTTAGCACTTTAATGTGCTGTGATGTTATGATTCTGATATCACAAAAATTAAAATTTTTCTTTACACGGTCAGTCACTTTACAAACAGTGATTTTTTAATCATCTTGAATAAAGATTAAAAACTAGTGAGGAGATGTGTGCAGTTTTTTCACACCTTGCCTAGGTTGCTAGAGAAAATACTCGGTGGGTCCGAGTCCAGGTGATACAAAATGAGATTTATCTTCTCATTTTCTTTAATGTGTTTCAACCAATGGGGAGAAGTGAAAAGTGCATGCATAGAACTAGTGGCGATCACAAAGGTATTAAAGCTGAAAGCTTCAAAACACTAATGTCTTAATAATATATTCTTACCCCGGCAGTTCTCAATCTTTTTTAGTGCTGTGATCACTTTATAACATTTGCCAAGTTGTGGCAACCCACATCCAGAATTATATATTGAGATTTTTAACTAATTTTTGAGAAGGTGGGAGGGGGCAACAATAAGAAACTAGTCTAATCACTGTTGTTAAAAATATTTAAATTTCAAAATTAAAATAAAAAATGCACATTTTTTACATAACCCCCACCCACCTGAATTTCCAGGTTGAGAACCACTGCCCTAAACCATAAACATAAAAAAAAAATCAAACATGGAACATATATGCATTGGTGTTGCTACTTGTTTAAAATGTTCTGATTCAAAGGTATACATATTTTCATCTTATTCATATCATCATCATGGTGATGTCATACTAGTCTTCCTTCAGGGAAGCCAATTACTTCCCTTATTTAATGAGTGTTAAAATACAATAATATTATTGTATTCTATGAGAGAACTTAGAAACGATACACACACACAAACTTTGGCCAGTCAGTATCATCAACCAGTCAGCATGTAAAATGAAATATTAATTGTTAATAGAAAGTTAGATGGTCATAACCAAAGGTATGCATCTTGCTACGACATATAATTACACAAAATTCGTTTGAATATTTTAAGAGCTTTGGAGTTTTATTTAGCTTATGTTTAGTTTCGCTCCAGACATTATATTATGAAAAAAAGATGCACCCATTCAATATTTCAACCCATTTGGGGGAATAGAAAATGAGACAATAACACATTTTTTTCTTTTTAACAACAGACCCATTTTTGTTGGGTCTGGGTATGTGAGAGGTGAGCTAATACTCCATTTCCAGGTATCTGAGTCAATACCCCATTCAGCCCTTTTAAAACCCTCTTTCGTTTAATTTATTTACTTAATTGTTAATTTTATCAGAGGCAAAAAGGTATTGCCCTTTCAAATTTAAATAAAAAATATTTATAACACAATATTGAAAAGATAACATGATTAAAAAAGATAGGACGAAAAAATGCTTACATTCAACAGAAAGTGAAAAACTTTAAGCAGTAATGGATGCATTTCTTCATCATCCTCACTCTCTGAAGTTGATTCCATTTTCTTCTTTCTTGCCATATCAGATACAGTTTTGGAAATGAAATCCATGGTATTTTCAACTTTTTCCTCTCTTGCATAGACTGTAAGAGGATGCTTGAGTAGCCTAATAAATTCATCCCAGAATACATCAAATGGCGTCTGAAAGATAAACACACTTTAAAGTTTAAAATATTGTTACAAAATAGATTTTAAAATTTATAAATGCGACAAAAGATGCAGCCTAAATCTAAGATAATTTGAAGTAGCCACTAGCAAGTATGAAATCAATATTTAATGAATTTAATACCCAACACCTGATAATGTTTATGTTTGGGTGAATGAATGAGTTTCAATATATATATAACTTTTGTATTTATTTGCTGAATGTTTTGTGTACAAAATAAACAATTTAAAGAAAAATGTATCTACAAAGTAAATACATTTTTTTAGGTTGAAATTTTTCATAAATGTACAGTTAGGATCAACAATGCAGACAGCAGTGGAGTTATTAAAGATTTTTAAAGAAAATAGAAAATTACTTACAGAATCATATAACTTCTCAAATTCTTTGTTTAGCTGCTGGTTCTGGGAATGTTGGCATTTCAGGAAAATATCAACTAATTTCAAATTTGCTGATCTCATGTTTAATCTGCAATAACATTATGCACAAGGGAGGCAAAATATATTAGTAGAAATAAGGATATGCAAAACTTTTTCTGCTTTAGAATTAAACAATTATTATATTGTTAAAAAACAAGGCAGTGTCTACACGTCCGGCGCGCCGGACGTCTATCTCCCGCACTATGTGTCCGGCGACCAAGTCACATGACCGCCGTAACAAAGTGGCAAGAGATATCGTGTCGGTCAGCCTTGTCACGTGACTGCGAATAATTCAAAACTATTGTTAATTTTAAAATCTATTTCTCTACCAAGTAATGTACTGAGTATCTTGAATGCAAATAATAGAAAAAGAAACTTAAGTGAAAGTGGCTTGTAAACATTTTTGTTTAGTTTGTTATTTTTTGTGTACCAGTAATCCATAAAATAAATTAGGGGCCAGTGTGGCAACCAATAAAAGTTAAAGATTTCATTTTAAATTATTTCAATTGCTACAAAATATTTAAAAAC